CTTTCTAATCTGGACCGGAGAACGCCGCGTTGATAGTCGCTTGATAGAGGAGGTGCGCTTGATAGGGGATAGGAGGTATCGATCCTTTTCGGCTTGAATGAGAGATAAAGAGAGGAAAAAGGGGTGTATGTTTTCCGTGATGACGTTGAGTTGAATCCTATAGTAAAACAGTACTCTTCAACAAGATAACAGAAAACAGGCTTCCTGAGGTCCTTTCGCTTCATTTCAATGCGTCTAATGGTGCTAATAGGTAGTGTAATGGTATAGGTATGACCGATTGGTTGTGTTTGTTGCTATTAGTGTTGTTGTTCTTGTATTGACAGATCCAGAGGGGAAGCGCTTCGGTTTTCGGCTTCCCTTGAAAAAGTAGTGTTTTTGGATGCTTTGCATGACCGTGAAGTAGGAATTGCCCTTCCATTCGGCTTGGTACTCACTGTTGCCATCATGTGATCTCTCGTAGGTCCAGTAAATTGTTGGTTTGTACTCTTTTCCCCACAGTTGACGTATGCAAAACTGGCGCTCACATTTTGGATTCAAATCGCAAATTCATGTTTTGATCTGTAATCTCCGCGATGGAAGCAAGGAGACAACAGCCACCTGATGCTGTTGATGCCAACTGCGAGACGACGACCAAGACCTTAACCACTGCTGGTGCAACTCTGAAGCAAGCTACGTCTATACCAATAGGACACTACTGCAGAATTACACCAACGCAGATAGCCAACAACATGGCTTCTTCCCAGGACATAGAGGCGGCGTTTATTGCTGTGGCCCACGCGGATGGTTCCGTCTTGGGAGAGTGGATTCCAGCATCGTACTGGACACACAAAGTGTCTCTGAAGCTTGACGATGACATGCCGCTCAAGGTCTCAAGACTCAAAGAAAGCCTTGGCAAAATGAATGCTCTTGATAGAGCATTTGCTGGCAGTGCAGACCAAGTAAAATATGGGGATATCATCCGGATCCAGTGGACGCCACGGAGGATTTCGGTTGGAGGAAAACTCAAGAGAGTACACTTCTTCTGTGTAGAAACAGACTACAAGAGCAGTGAGGTGTTCAAGGATGAGAAACAGAAACAGAACAAATTCGAGGAGAGATTCAACCATTACAGGCGCAGAGATACCTTCATTGCCAATCAACTCGTGATCGATACCAGCAACACCAAGCAAACCAGAAAGGAATCTGCAATTGTCACACCAACAGAAGCTCGAAGCCACAAAAATGATATCACACACGAGAGAAACAGCGACATTCGTGAGCTGCTCACGAACATTTTCGATCAACAAGAACTCGATAATCCAAATATACTTAGGTTTGACATTGACCTCGATGCTTTTCGAAGAAAGATACAGCTTATGGGAATCCGTCTCCAGAAAGAGGCAAATGAACAACGCAGTAGGATGTTAGCTGAAAGAGAAGACGATGACTTGAGTAGCCAGATCGACAAGAGCAAGGTGGAAGCCTTCTTGAATCGATTCTGCTGCCCCCTCCGAAAGTCTTCAATTCAAAGCTTTCTGCACGTAGCATTGCAGATCAATGCTGTTGCCAACAACAGCAACATCTTACAGCTTCAGAAATATGGTGGTAGCAAAGGCCACGGTAACAATCTTGTACCAGTTATCCCCGCAGATTCAGCAAAGTCTTTGATGAAGAATGCAAGAAAGTACTTGCCTCATCTCTTCCGTTCCATCGTGTATGGACACGAGCTCACTCGAAGGCAAGCATGTTTCTGCTTCACGAAGCTTCTCCATGAAATGGAGCCATCCGGAGTCCAAGATGCCGTCCGGACGTCAAACATACAGCCAATGCCCAAGATGGATCCACACAACCAAATTGCCATGTTCCAAGAACTCAATTTGACGTATGCAAAAGGTAGAGCCATAAGGCAGTTCTTCAATGCCAACAAGTGCAATCCACTTGTGTCAGATACAGTCATGAGGAAACTCGAAGCAACAGTCGATGTAAAGCCTACCTTGCTTCGATTTTGCCAGGCGAAAACAAACCAGACCGGTTGGATTCAGTCGGTTGAAGATGTTGTTCGAAATGAAATCAAGTCCGAGGCCATATTGACAGATGACTGCGTCCATGTTGTTGTCCATGGCCAAGGCGCTTTCCGTGTGCATGTATCAATCCTCTTCATTTCCGGTAAAAGAGTTCGGCGAGAGACGCATCATATGGTTGGACAAATCAATTGTAAGAAGGACTCGAGAGACGTAATCCTGAACAGTGGCATTGGCAAGGCTGTCAACGACTCCTTGAAGGAGCTAGTGAAAACTCCTGGTGCTTTGCCGATAGAACTCTTTGTGGTTGGAGACTTGGCCTTTTATTCATTGTTCCTTGGCAAGGAGAACATGAGTGGCCATCATTGCTGGGAATGCCAAATAATGTGGCGCCAGTTTCAAAATGATCCAAAAAAACTAGGCAGGATGTGGACTCTTAGATTGATGAGGAAGAGATATAACAAGTTAGAGAAGAAAGAGCTGAAGCGCTCACTCCCAATACAAGAGAAGGGAATCAAGACGTTACCATTGTTGGATTGCATTGAGCCAGTCAATTGGTTGCCACCTCCACTCCACAGCGTCATCTTGCTGGCTAACACTCCGATTGACTACTTGCAGAGAATGGTTTGGTACAGGCATGAAAGAGTTCCGGTGGAAATGATTGAAGCCAGATTCGAGAAAGCTGATGCTGAATTAGAGGCCGAAGCGACCTGGAAAGACTTGGTGGATGCTGAGGAGCATTGGAATGAGATGTACAATGAAATGACAGAGCTTGTGGGAGATGTCAACATCCAATTCGAAGACAAAGACATGAACAAGACTACATTCGGCATGAGGAATACCTCCATCTAGCAAAGGCTTGGCTCGAAGAGGCTGATGCAGCGAACAAGAAAGCTACAGGTCGCCTGAAAGAAGCAAAGAAAAAGCTGACAAAGTTAGAGAAAAACAAAAAGGACTATGGCCGGACAACCCAAGATCTTTGGATGACTATCCAGAGAAAGCTTGACAAGGATTACAATGTTCACATTTCCTCTTACCATGGTGGAGCAATGGAGGGCAATGAGTGTCGACGGCTCCTCCAAAATGCAGTTCCAATAATGGATGACATTCAAAAAATTCTCCTGGACAACTTGGCGACTTGGTCAGAGGAAGAATGCAGAGCCGACGAGGCTGAAGTGGAGCTCTTTTGTGCTGGCTTTAAGAGACTGTTCCAGTACATGGATCTCATTGCCCACTACTGCTATCAACCTTATGGATCGATGACGGATGAAGATGTCATGAACTCCAACAAAGCGATCGATCTGGCTACCGAATTGTGGCACAGACTCATGCCAACCATTCAATGAAAGTACATGCGTGGCAACACCTCAAGCAAGCATTGGAGAGCTCCGGGCATGAAGAGCCATATGGAAGAGGCCATGGAGAGGTGTCACCAACAAGGAAAGAAGGATAATGCCCTCAAATGTTTCCGGGATGACTGAAGAAGATGAATGTCCTCCGCAGCGCTACCAGGAAGAAGAAAGAAGTACAGGAGCAGCTCGCAGCGACCAGGCGAGGGATCAAGAGGAAGAAATCAAGTGTCGATGCCTCGACCGTGGCTGAGCGCCGAACGGCGTATCTGCGATCAATCACATCGCTTCCTCCCATCGAAAAAGACTTCCCAAAGCTGAGTGAACTCTTGAAGATGTATCGAATGGACTATCAGGATCAGCTACAGTGCCAACCAGTTACAGAGGAAGAAGAAGCTGCAGCAGTCGAGGAAGAAACGGAGGATTGAACCTCATTGTCGAGGATTATTTCTTTTCCACGATACTTTTTGTGCTGGTGGAGGCTAGCACTCTGAAAACTGTCACGGAAATTTGAAAATCCGGCTAATCTCTAACCCAAAGGAAGGTATTATTTAACGCTGGAAATATCTCCAAATATGAAACATTGGCAATAGGTAGTACGGAATAACACTATTATAAAGCAGCAGGCTGTCATGATACACTTTGTTGGAGTCAATGCATCGAGTCGACGACGAGCGACCGCATTGCATAGTCGCCACCGCTCGAATTGACTTCACTCTGGCATCTAGTGGCGGCTGTCAATGCATCTACAATAGTTTGATTCTACTGGTTGGACTATGAATAAACAAGTAGAGTAGGATCAAGAAGCTATAGATTCATTGCTACAAGAAAAAGAAGACCACCCTCCAAATAATAATAGGCAGCTAGCCCTCGATTTCTTTCTTCCATCGGCGCTAGAGTCAATTGAAACTAGTGGTTGCTGGCGATGCGACATAAGCGTTGCCAAGCTTTTTAGCCTTACTTCAGCGGACCGATAGCCCCGGTGACAACAGTGGAAGCAAAGACCATGGCCTGGGCAAAGACATTGGAGCTTCCTTGCTCTCCATTCCAAACCATGGTGATCGTCACTTTGTCGAAGCCCTCTGGATTGCCCGCTGGTAAACGCACAATAGTCTTGATTGCTTTGGTCCTCGTGATAGGACTGATCACTTTCTTGGGCGACTCTGCAATCCATTTGGCGTCAGGTGGCAAGTTAAGCGTCACCGTGTTTCTTGTCCCCTCTTCATTGAGGACTACAATTCGGAAGAGCGAATGTCCGCCGAATCGTTGCAGAGCGACGGGGCCACTGTAGTTGATGGTGTGGTCTCCAATCAAGAGATCAACGTTGGCAAATGATGCCTTGGCACGTCTTTGCTTGCCATCTTTTTCCGAAACCGCGGCCACAACTTGCCAGGAGACTGCCATGATTGGATGAGCTGTTGGATGATAGTAACTTGTCGGCTTGTGGGCACTCGGCTTGTGGGCGCTCGGCTTGTTGCGTAGCTTTGCTTCGACTCAAATCGCATTGGATTTGAATGGTTTGAATGGATCGGATCTACATCGTACGCGCCAAACCGAGGCTTTGATGTGAACATACTCCAATGCGGGAACTCCCATATGCATCATCTCACAACCTCTCACAACCTGCAATCGAGCAGAAGCTGAAGCCATCATGTCGGACTCGGACTTTGAACCAGACTACCCTGCTGAATTCTTCAATAAGGAGATGCTCGTCAATTGCTTCTTCGACAGCCAACCTGGAAGCAACAAAGATATGGAAACCATCATTGGTGACAGGATCAAACCTCTCACGGAGAGAGCTCAGGACTGGCTGTCTCGAGAGGTCGGAAGGGCTGTTCTCATGCGCAAGGACTGCACTATTACTTGCACCATCGGGGGCAAGTACTACTGGAAGGCTGATGAGTTTGCTGAGTGGTCAGGTCTCTTTTTCTTGCATGAAGGTGTTCAACGTATCACCGCCTCTTCCAACAACTGTCTTGTGTTGCTCACCAAATTCAAGACTGTTGTTACCATCCTCATCTACGGCAACAACAGGTTCGATGTCCACAAGCCCGCTCCCAAGGTCATTGAGGTCCCCAAGAAGAAGGCTGTTGCTCCAGCGAAGAGGACTCCTCATCCCAAGAAGAGGTTTGCATCCAAGCGCATCGAGGAAGAAGACAGTTTCGAGGAAGACTATGAGCTTTCGCAGCAGCTCACTCCCCTCAAGGCCTTCTACACCCGTAAAGGCAAGTAGCTGTATAGTAGCAGCTTGTTAACCTGCCCACAAGAGGCGTCGACAACGGCAAGAAGAACGTCATTGTCAGCCTTTTCGATTTTAATGAAGCCGAAGTGCGCTGTTTGCCTCCGGCTTGAATCGGTCAAAATCGGTTGCAACCGAATCGAATCGAACTATCCGGTAATATTGGACTTAGGAAAAAAGTAGCCGTTTAACTCTTAAAAGAATTATATGAATTTTTTTCGTTGATCCTACGTGGGAGCAGCCTCTTAGGCTTGATGGCGACAGTGACTGGATCCTGCTTTATATGGTAAACATCTTTGTTCGGAGGGAAAGAACTATTTAAAGCCGATCCTTTTTAATTACCAATGACCCAGACATGCTTCAAGTTATGCACGGTGTCCACCACACGCATTGTGAACAACGAGGGTGTAGTTTGTTAAACGGGCCGTACTGGATCATGAGCATGCCTTTAACAGATTTGTAAGTACTGTTTCATGGGGAACCAGAAGCTTCGGTGCATAATCCGCAACCTCCCATTCACGATTGTATCGTAGGGTCGACCTTCGACTTAATCGATACCTACCTTGTAGATTGAGTATCCGTACCTCAGGTGCGCTTCTCAGATGTTGAACTGTTGCGATTCCTCTGAATCCCTAAAAAGCAGCATGCAGAAAGGGAGGCGAATGGTGTGAGATCTGCAAGTGCACATGTCAATGATAGCAAAACCATACCATGCTACGTCGTCTTCTTGCATGCCGGTCAGGTCAATGGGGGGCCCAACTTATCCATGACCAAGTTGCACCAGGTTCCTTGTTTCATCATTGATGAACTTGACCGCGATACTCGTAAACCCAGTTATACAATTGCATCCACATGTTGTCTCTTTTCATTGCTAGGGTCTCCATCTTGAACTCGCCACCTTCCGAAAGGCAAACTTTTTATCCGGACTGTGCATCTGAACCACCCATAGCTCACTGACGCTGGTGGTCGGAGCCTTGGTCAGTGGTAGTTCGCTTTGACCACGAAGAGGCTTCTGCATCCTGTAGTACTCCTTTGCCATCTGCTTCCTGTTGTACTTCTGAAACTCCTTTTTGGATGGAGAATGGAAAGAATCGGCTGTAGTAATCGTGGGAATATTCATCTCTCTTCTCTCATCAGTGGAAAGCTCACGGTCCATGAGTGTTCTTCTTGTTGTTTCTTCTCTGTCGCTCTTCCTTGTCTCTTTTCCACTTCTCTTCTGTTCCGAACGGGACTTGCCACCAATGGAAGATCCTCCATTGCTGGAAGAACTCTTCTTCTTTCTTGTGGAATCGGCAGGAGGCATGTTGCGGTTGGCTTGTTCGAGGCGATGTCGATCTCTAGCAAGTGTGATGTTGAGGTTTAATCACTGTAGCTAGTTGATTCCAGAAGTGAAAGCAGAGGCGATGTTTGAGGTTGGTCAATTTGGATAAAGCCGGGAGTATAAGAAGGCCGAGGTATAGTGCCTGGAGTGACAAGGAGAGGCCGATGTTGAGGTTTATTCACCGTAGTTGATGCCAGAAGTGAAGCGAGAGGCCGATGTTGAAGGTTGGTTCAATTTGGATAAAGCCGGAGTGATAAGAAGGCCAGGTTATAGTGCCGGGAGTGACAAGGGACGATGTTGAGGTTTATTCACCGTAGTTGATGCCAGAAGTGAAAGCGAGAGGCCGATGTTGAGGTTGGTTCAATTTGGATAAAGCCGGGAGTGATAAGAAGGCCGAGGTTATAGTGCCGGGAGTGACAAGGAGAGGCCGATGTTGAGGTTTATTCACCGTAGTTGAAAGCATTACAGTTCCTCCCACGACTCAGAGTATCCGTGAGTAGATTGAATCATGCTTTATGAGTCAACACGATGGAACAGAGAACGCTGGCAAGAACACATTCTCAGCGAAACCAAAGGACACGTTAAATTGGAGTATTCGACAGGAGTAAAGCATCCTGCCAATGAACGGTTTCCCCGCAGATACCACGTTGACTTCCGTATGAATCAAGATCAACTACCACGATGCATTGATCTAACACGCTACGAACTAGCTTTACTGATCGCATCAATCAAAGCTCACAACACAGATTATGAATTACTAAGAAGCGAACTTTGCATTTACCTTGCACTCGTCTTGAATAGTTGCAGCTGATCTCGTTGGGTGGTAGCTACCTCTACAAGATCCCTCTATTCAAGTAGTATTTCCTCACATTAGCAGATTAACTAGTCGCAGTTACGCACTGCCACACCTCCATCAAGATGGCCGATGAACCAGCCAGGCTCAAGCATGTCCTATGCAGCCTATGTGGCGAAGACGCTTCCACCACAGGGTACAATGCATCTCACATGCGCATCGCACTGTCTGAACAAGGAATCGACGGATGGATGGATCTCCTACTTCCCACCAAAGATGAAGTTATGGATCTCCAAGCTTCCGACGACACCAACGGCGCTCCAAGACCAGTACCTCTCACCAGGAAGAGGCTACTGCTCGCGGCGATACAGATGTATCACCATTGGTCGTTCAAGAAGAAAGCACCCATCCGCATCGTCTCGCTGACGGCCACCGCCCTCGATGCTTTCAGAGTTGGACTCTTCCAGCCACACGGCGAAATCGTCCCATGGCAACAAATGAGACGCAGCGATGCCACGATGACCGATGGGGAGCGTGCAATCGCACTTTGGGACAAGAACAACAAGCCCGTCCGCTCGGAGTTCAGAGAGTTTCGCGATGAATCAGTCTTCATCAAATGGAGGAAGAACTTCCTCAACACGCTCAAATCTCAAGGTCTCTCCCACCTCATTGATTCTGACTTCACGGTCACCAACGTCGAACTAGACGAGAAACAACGAGAATGGATGTACAAGACCTTCGAAGATATCTTCCAAGAAGCACAGGCACGATCTGTCGTCCTTGCCAACGAAACCGACAAGGACACTCATGCGATCTGGAAGGCAATTGACGAATATTACTCCAAGTCCATGGTTGCAACCCTGCGCTCGGATAAGATTTCGTGTTATCTCACCTCCGCCGATATCGCAGAAGGTGTATGGAGAGGGTCCCAAGCTGGTTTCATCTCCAACTTTCTCGAACAATTTTGGCAGTACAATGAGATCAGCGACGAGCCGTACACTGACCAGCAGGGGGCACGTTTCTTGGAACGCTCAATCTCCAAGGCACCAAATCTCGCTCCTGTACGACGTCTCGCACTGCAAACCAAGAAAGCTGCAGGAGACACCTCCCAGTATACGCTCGAGCAATACCGAGCAGCCCTTCTCGAGCAAGCACAACTGCATGACAGTGCAAATCATGCAACGTCCACACGCTCTCGAAGCAACGCTCGTCGTCGCACCTACCAACACGAAATTCTCTTCGATGATGGTACAGTGGAAACCTGTGACAACACCTATGAGGCGTTTGTCCACGATATGGATACACCAGTGGAGGTCCTATTGCAAGCCCATCAGACAGACACTCGTGGTCCATGAAAGGTCATGATGAACGCAACCACATGGCGGTCGTTGTCCAAGTCGGATCAAAAGGCATGGGATAATATCTCCGAGCAGGGCAAGAAGAGCATCCTTGACTACACGGATGACTTAGCTGTTCGACGTAGTCACCACAACTCTGGGCAATCACGCCCATCCCGCTCAGTCAACTCCCATGACTTCCTCGACGTGGGCAACACCACGCCTTGAGCAGGCAACCTAGAAGTGTCCTCGCACCAAACCAAGTCCAACAAGACGGACACTGACCTGTTGCAGCTCGCGTGCAACAAGACGCATTCAACGCCAACGTCCTTCGCTGGTGACATCGCGTCCGTCCTATCACAGCCGTCCAATACGGTTACACGCGAGGTACGAGTTCACGAGGTTGATCGCTCATCCTACGAGACCTACTCCCACGAAATGTTGTTCAGCGAGCCAGAGATTGATCCTGATTGGCAACCCTTTGTATATCTCTCTGATGAATCCGAGGACAGCCAAACACAAATCACTCGTGAGAATACGACGACGCCTGTGGACCTCCTCGACGTACCCAACGAAGCGGATCCTCCAATGCCCGCACTCGACGATGGAGAAACAATCTTCCCATCCGGTGATGAGAATTTCTCGCAGTTTGCTTACGGTACCTCCCAATACGAGGCTATTGATACGAGTATCCAACAGCAAATTAAGAAGAAGGCGGTCCCAAGGTCCAAAGCAGAAGATAAGAATGGAAAACATGATGGCCGGTACTCCATTGGCAAGGGTGGAACTTGCGAATTTGGAGGGTGGACTGATGCCGGACTTGCACGTTTTGAGGACTTGCGGCAGCAGGTTGTGGCTTCAAGAGCACAGCCTCATGCTCAAGAAGGGGGATGAGCAAACTTGCCCATAGCCCTGCATTGTATTTGATAGTAATGTTTGTAAAATTGTCTGTTAAAAAGCGAATATTTGTTTTTGGATGCAATTTTTCTATTGGATTAGATTGGATCGGATTGAATTGGATTGGATTGCATTGAATTCCAGTGTACTATATAAATAACAGTACTATTCTGAACCTAATTCAATCCAATTCAATCTAATCCAATGCAATCTAATCCAATTGAATCTTGTTTCCTGCAAAAATCTATTTTTGCTCCTTTTTCTTACATTCGCCACTCCTGTTGAGTACACTACCGCGCTATAGCAAGATTTGCCCATCCCCAAGTAGAAGAGGCCATCCTTGCACGAGTCCGCATCGATGCCTTTGGTATGGGTGGTGAAGATGATGGTGAGCCCCCCAAGAAGAAGAAGAAGAAGGCGCCGTCCGGGGTGAAGCTTAGCTTGGGCTTGTAGGTGGCCAAGGTTCCCAAACTAGAGCCAAAGGCTGCCATTTGGCATGCTACGCTCCCAAATCCAGGGGGTCCTTTGCCTTGCTTTCCCCCTCATTCCTTCTCTTTTGGCATGGCTACCATGGCGGCTGTTACCTCTTCCGTCATTGTTTGGTTGCCTCCCGAGTTGCTGTTTTGCATCCAATGCCACCCTGTTT